TTGCCTTCTTATTTGAAATCGGCAACGACTTAGTTGCCAATTTAATATATCCGTTTTCAGCACGAAGTGATGAGCTACTATAAAAGTTATTTTGTTATCATTTTTTGGGGAAGAATTAGAATATAGATACCTATTTTAAATTCTGTTTTATTTAATTTGCACTTTAAATAACTTTTGCTAGCTACCCTCTCCGTGGTATATTAGATTTTAGAAATGGAAGCTTTTAAGAAGAATCTTGATAGGCAAGTAAATGAGCTCAAAGCGAAATGCGAGCAAATTGAAAAACGCGCTGCAGAACAACGTCAGGTCGAGGAAAAGAAGCATCAAGACGAAATCCAGTTTCTCAAGCTAAACAACCAACAACTTAAGGTCAGTTACTTTCTAGCATTCTGTAGAAAGTGTTAGCACTAAGTCTCAAAAGAGGATTAAACCTTATCCAAATTAGTATTCCCTAATCATATGCCCCAATAATAAGGAATTCCATCCCGCATCACCAGATATTTCGATTACTCCTACTCTCTCTTCTCATAATTGGTTATTGGAATCAACTAACGGGCTTATTATCCCCCTATCATAGCCAAAGATATATGCTTATAATGTAAAGAGGTGGCCATAGCTATGCCATCAGTTGTTGATCTATTTTCTCTCTTCTGTCACTACCAATATGGTCACTATTAATAAAAGTAAGGGATTAAATGACTCAGTAATCAAGTGCTGCTCAAATTTCCCAATTTGTAGAATTTTGAGAACAGGTAGGTAAAAATTATGTTGCCCAAATATAAAGACAAAGTGGTAGTATCTATCTAATAGAATGAGATATTAACGATTAAAAATGTCGGTGTATCCGCCATATTTGTCTCCTTTGACAGAAGATAGTGAGTTGGCTGTCTGTCCGCTCCAAAAGGTAGAGTGGTATTCCCAGTAGAATGCGTTTATTTATGCAATAACAATTTCAAATTTTTTGTTGCTCTTTTTCAGACGCAACTCGAGGGAATAATCAATCCCAAAAAGTAGTCCCCTCCTCCATCTCAATGATTGCAACCAATATCAAACGCCAGAAATAAAAAAGTATAAATTTTACAAAGTAGTCCTTGCTCTTCTTTGTGGATGAATTGCAGTCAGGCATTTTAAGTTAATTTGTATTAATTGGAATGGAGTATAATGACTGTCAATTATACCAATGGTAGTCTGTTGCAGCAAATTGAACGTTTCAACTTACTTCAAAAGTGAGTCATTTTTAAAGTGAAAAATAAATAATGAGTAGAGAAATGAAAATATTAGCATTGATTACTAAGAAAATCAGCTGACAAATTCAGGCCAGCAAAATTATAAAAGAGTGAAAGTTGGATTCGGAAAAGTCAATTTTAATAAAAAAAATAAATCCATTGGCGATTCTCCTATGAACTTTGTTTGTGATTGTTTTCGAAGTAGGTAAAGTCCTAAAACGACAAAGTTTGTTGAATTTTTTTGCAGTAAAATAATTCAAACTATTGATTAATATAAGTCTTGTTTAATAATTTGTCAACTCATTGGAAAAAATTAATATTAATTAATTTTATGATGAAATAAATTTTACTTACAAGTAGGAAAACCGCACCTATGACTAATGTTTTTACTTTCGAGTCAAGATCATGAGGAACTGTGAAGATAAGGAAGAGAACATTAGAATTTTACAGGGATGTGAGTGAGATACTGTAAAATCACTGCCTACTTACATGCTACTGAAAAGTCATCAGCGTCTGTGAACATTTCACGCATAAAGCCGGCCCATTCCTTGCGAATAATTCCTAATTCTGCCTGAGAATCGGCTGATTGTATCTAATTCGGAAATAAAATTAGAATATATTTAAATATGAATTTATATTGTTTAATAACATTGATAAATAGCCGTTAAACTGTTAATTAAACACATCTCTAGTATTACCAAAAAAGGAAGGGATAATTAGGGCAATTAAGCCAAGTCAGTGGTCAAGAGAGCTTTGACCGTCGGTACCCACCTAGTGATCTGGCTACCTAGGGCTACCTACTAGAGTGCTTACCATCTACTCAAGTCGAATTTCCTCACTGAGTGAGGATTTTTTCAATAGGCCTAAAGTGCTAAAATTGTGCGATTTCGTAACTATGGAAATATATTTACAAGTACCTGTTTTGAAGAACAATTGAGTTGTCACCCATATATGGCTACTGAATCGACAAGATATCTATATAAAACTTCAAATCACCAAAATGTGCATTCAGTTACACGATTGTCCTCGAACCCTAGATCGGTTTAACACTTTACTGTTAGCAACTCAACGTTATAAATATTCGAGGCAACTGAAGAGGGCTCTGGTATAATGTGAATGAAATGCAGGCAAAGGCTTATGAGAAAGTCATCAAATTTGGCACGTTCCATCAACCACCTGAAGGTGTAATTCAGGGGTAATTAGTAGGAAAATTATATTCCTACCTTAGTACAAAAATTGCATATTAAAAATAAACAATAACTCCTTAGAATAAAGATGGGATGAGCTTGTGAAAGGGTTGACAAAAACGTTCCAGCCAAAGTTTTTTCTATGTGACGATAACAGTAAGTCATGTTATTGAAATTATTGATTATCATAATTGATGGCGGTGGTGGCGGTGGAGGGGGGGGGGTGAGTGATGGGTTGAAAAAATTCTGCAGTGCACTGGAAGGGAAATTGAACTTCATCATTGCGCCATTTTTGTCATCATATCAATGGGGAATCATGGCATGACCAGGTTAACAGACCCTTGTATGAACTTTTGTCTGGCCAATCACTTACTGATACCCGATGATAGACTCAGCCTTCAGCGGCTAATACCAGGGTCATAACTGAACCGCATTTTCATCGACAAATGTCTAGTTAAAAGAAGCAATTGAATTATACCACAAAGCGTTGGTTTAGAACAAACATTTGACCAATCGGGGATAATTCATTTGAAAAAAATGATAAGATGCTAATGAAATACAAGCATTCAAGTAAGTATTTAAATTATTTAAGAAACATAGAGCCGAGGTTTAGGCTCGACTAACAAAAATGGAAGTGTTGAACTCAACGAAATAACCAATCAAAAAATTTGAATTAAAACAGACCTTGAATTGTAGACGGTCGGTGAAAGATATCCAGGGGAAACAGACGAGATAGCAACTGGGTGGACCAACGATCCGCAAAAGTGCGTTATCATTGGGATCCAAAATTGTCCATTTTGGCACAGCACATGTTGGTCTATTAACGAAAAATGAAAATATTGAGCAACTGCTACATACAAGCTATTAGGCTTCGACATTCCATGTCATTTTCTCAAAAAATATCATTTAGAAATTAATATGCAATCTTATTAGAATGAAAAACAACCACCTGAGTGTTTATTTCGTAAGGTACCACTCTGGCTCTTTCTAATAAAATTACTAGCTGGCAGTAATTCATTTAGTCAAATAGATGTCTTGACCTTTGGAGATACTGCGTATCAAAATGGAAATTTACACCCTTTTGTCATAACATTCATATTCGATTTTAAGAAACACTTAGATGATTATCTAATTAATTTCAAATCGTCAATTGCGAACATTCTGGTTGTTTATCTTTCCTATTTATATTCTCATTCGGTTGATGCGCGGTAATTAAAAAGGAACTTCTTATTGGGGTTCCCTCTTCTGTTGCTTGAAGAGATATCATTAAGCAATAAAAGATAATAACTTCCGGGCCATGTTCATTAATAATTTCTTTCTTAATTCATTCATTTTTAAAAAAAATTGGTTGTTAGCGGTTAGATACAATTCATCTGTAAGTCCTTCAATACGATAGACTATAAATTAGACATGAATTGTGATTGACACTGACAGCTGAAAATTTTTGATAGATGTTAACTGGGATATTTGAAGTTATCGCACTTCATAATTTGTTACACCCGGCTTTTTATTAAAAAAAGAGAATAAGACAACACGGATATATTTTGCTACAAGACAATGTTTCCTAAGATTACTTACTGAATGAGAACGCCGAATAGGTTGGTTTCATTCGAGAAATTTCTTCATGTTTCGTATATTACTTTTACGGTCGTCTAACGCATAGCAAACCACATTACAATGATGAAGTGGTATTTACTACATCGAGGATTAAGAGATCTACGCTTACCATATTCACATCCAGTGAAAAATGGCCAAAAAATCAATGGAAGTTCGCGACTTCCCTATTGGAGCGTTTCAAATACTTCCTAACTTCTCACGTCATTTTTATCATTTTAATCGCGAGAAATCATATTAAGTGAAGCTTATTAGAGATAACCCAAGAATAGATGAAATCAGTAGTTGGCAGCGCTATTTTTCCGTCATGTCAACGCTCTTACAAGTTAAGAAGTTGGGCCTTGGTTCCAAGGTGTCGAAGTCACCTCACGTCAATCAACTGGATTTTGTTTAGCGAGGGCATTCCAAAAATATTGTCACATAACATCTCAAAGCAACATATACTAGAAGGAAATTTAATTAATATCTTTCATGCGCCACTGCTTTAAACCTTAAATGAAATCGATTTTTAAGGTTGTTTCTTTTACATTCAGATAATTGCAAATCAAAATGTTCAAAAAAGCAAACGAATAGCTAAACTGCGCAGATTTGTGGGAAGTGGTTTCATTAAACCTTGCTCAATAGAAGAGGGGAATGACAGTGAGGAAGCAAAGTTGTCTTTCACTGCAAGAACTCACGCTGAGAGTTGTGAAATATTTATTATCACAGTGATCTCAAAGTTATTTTAAGTATTGAATATATATAGGGGTAGGGGGGGGGGCAGAGCGAAGGATCTTCGACATGACATTCTCTTTATATATATTGCAAAGCAGAAAGCCAAAAAAATGTATTTGCAAGTCTGCAATTACTCTGAGTACTAAATTACAATGCAAATACTATACAAAAAATGTTGATTTACAACCGGTAATAAAAATAATATATAAAAGTGGTCGTAAAAAATCGAAGCGACACTCAAATAGAAGCGATTTGAGTAAAAGGCTGATTGGAAAAGAATCAAGTAGCGGAAATATTTTTGGTTGCGTAATAGCTGTCGGGCTGAATTCTTTACGTAATTGAAAGCATTTTTAGGGTATTTTGTCTTCCTCTCCAATCCCACCCCTCCCCTCTCCTCCCCCCCCCCACCCCCCACC